GGAGGCCTGGGGTGTACGTGAATAGACCAGCTTAAGCGGGTGAGTTCAATGTGACGGGAGTGAGGGTGGGACTACCAGGGGCCTGTAGCTGCCCCGGCGCATGTCTGAGATCGAGAGCACCATATGCAGTGCTGAACTGAGATTCCTAACTTGGTGGTGAAACTAACCGGGAAAGAGGTCCGACTAAGCCGGGAAATTGTGCAGAAGACTGCTTCCCCGCGGCCTGAAGCGCACGGTCCACCCGTCACACGTTGAACGGCTTCAATTAACCGGAACGTTTTTCTGAGTTGTTGGAACACCCGCGGACACACATCCACAAACTAGGTGGGATAATGGAAACCAAGCTGTCCGCGCGTGCTTTTGTTATCAGGTCATCACGTGGCGGAATCCGTTGTGTTCTTGGTTTGTGGATTGCCCACCGAGGTTAACACAAATTTCAGGACAGCCGGACCCATGTAGGGCCTTCGATTGTCTCGAAGAGTTTGGACATTCGATTGGGCATGCAGAGGTGATCAATAGGTGGGAGAACAAATCGTGCGTCACGGAAAGTACGGTGCTTTGTGCGTGTCCGCAGTAGTGAGAGAGCAGCAGGCACTGTTGATGGTTTGATGCGTTCATGTTATTGAAAAACGCTTGAGTATTGTTCTGGTTTACCGTAAGTGCGGAGACAGCTCAGAGACAGCTGCGTGGTTGACTGAGCGCATTGATCGCTGATGTTTGGTTGGATAAGGCATGTTGAAACTGCACGGTAGATTCCCGAGAAGTGGAAGCTTTTGAGCTGTCAGGACGACAGGTAGACGTCGCAGATCGGCGAATGAATTGTCGCCTTACCCGGTTATCTGGTTAGTCGGAGAGAGTTTGCGAGGAGTCGCTCAGCATTCTCACACCTCACTGTATACGTGTCAGAGCCCAAATAACCAAGGCATGGCTTAATTTGTTGTCAATTATCTCACTTTACACAATTCTGGTTCTCGTTTTCTGATTGTACTAGATCGAGCAAGCTGTAGTACTTTATCGATCGTGGTTCTATACACGATGTGAAATGTAGCTGTGGATTGCTCGCTTTCAAATTGACGGAGGGCTATCAATCAAGGTGCAATTGATCTTGTACTTGGCTCTGGAGTTGAGCGAACCCATTGCGTTGCCAAACCTGTGGTCATCTACAGTTGCAACAGAATTTCGAACCCTTCAGTCGAATTTCCACTCTTAGTGCATCCGTTAGTAGAATATCGTTCACCGCTTAACAGCCATGTGCTCGGGCGCACACTTTGACAAAAATGAGAAGAATCCTCGGCTCAGTTCGGCGGAACACATCCCGATATGCATGCTATAGCCCGTGAACCACTCCGTCCCACAACGTCCATATGTGTATCCAAATTGTGGGGCAAGTCCCCGATCGACCCCGGCTTCATCCGTAGCCCATGATCTACTTTGAAACTGGGCACTGAGTGAACTGACAGAGGAAGGTGGCGTGTTGATACAAAGGAAATACTGTGATTTTATCTGCCATATCGATAACGACACTCAACAGACCTGTAACTGTTTTCCCACTGACCACGCTTGCCCTTACTCGTGATCTGTCTTGGTGTTAAGACTGAGGAAAGAAAAGCCTGAAAAGATTTTTCCGTAAAAGCTGATTTGGTGAGACATAATACTTTCATATTATTCCCGGCTCACTCGGAAGTTTGGTTTGCTCTGCCGATATCTTGACTTTGGCAGTTGCCCAATAACTAGTTCATGGGTCGATGGATATGCCTTAAATCTCGACCAACCTCGGAACGTAGTCACTTGGCCTGACGAAGCTTTTGTGTCAAAAGCGAAACATTGCCCAACAATAAATCTACCGATTGTGACCAAACTTTTTCGAAAACGATGCATAGAGCTTTCTTTCAGCCTTGTCTTATAGCGAACATCATTGATTCAGCTCGATAAACGTCACAGCTTGTCAATTTCCATCCGACATCCCATTTAGGAAGATGCGCATTTCAGATAGGACCCTTGTCTGCTGTTTGGTACTTTTTCAACAACCCACTATTATACTTTTGTAACTAGGTATGAGCATCTGTCCTACCGCCACCTGTGTGGATAAACAGGCGGATCTAGATTGAAGTTTTCTCAATCCGACTACATGTTTAATAATCGTCTCCTGAAATAGCTAAGACATCTACATGTTCTTTCACAATCCATAGCAGTTAATTTCGCAAAATAAAATAAAGCTAGTTGTGACTGCTTGGACTATCGGCATGCAGTTACATGCAATTGCATGCAGTCACATTCTCCTGATGAACTGATTCTATTTTTAATATCCACGGTTCTTTTATGACATGTTGGCCTTGGCTTTATCTAGGATTCTTTTAGCTTATGTGTAGCTGTTGGTCGTTTGTGCGAGTTTGCTTTCATCTTCGTTTCTGATATGCACGAACAACAGATTTCTGCAAAATGGCCGACTTCTTTATAACATGGATTACTTTAGCAAATTTCGCCTCTTATGAGTTTGTTGTCTTTGTTGTTCCTCCGCGTCATCGGCGGTGCTCCTTTGTTTTCTTTGTCTTATCTACAATGAAGAATGCGTGAATCGAATATTTACTGATTCGTAAGCTCTTTTTCCTGGGTGGGTCGTTGGACGTCTCACTCTCACACACTGCCACTCTGTCACCTAACTCCTGGTGGACCCTGACAGCGGTCGAAATAAATTAGCATACATTGCGATCTGGTGTTACCGATGCTACGCGAATTCGGAATACGGGACCCAGTAAATGAAGCTGACACATAACAAGCTTCCCAGTGTGGTTTCCCACATGCTTGGGAATTCCTCCCGTAATTGAACCGCTTAGTCGTTTGCCTGTTTGACGTTTCGCAATAAGTACTTGACCTGACAATAAGTTTTCTCTTTGCATGATGACAGTTTCTACCAGACTACATTGTGTGGTCTTTTATCGAACCTGTTCCTCTGGGAATCCGGATACAACTACTTCCTTAATGTGGCTGTTCATGGACGAGATTATACGCCTCATAAGTAATCAGTCCGCATGTCCCTGGCCAAGTGGTTCAAGTCAACGACTCAGAATTTTAAGTCCATTTCTCCTCGAATTTACACGGTTACGTACTTATACAGTTATATTCGAACTCTTTGAACCCCCTTACTGTCATCTGCGCTGACCACTCACGGCACCAACAGCAAACGACCAACAGACCCTTCTCTCTTCGACTAATCATATTAGGGAATGGTACTATATCGACGGCCGAACTAGATTATACTGTGGTAGAACCCCTATCATCAGGTCACTCGCTACCGATTTCTGGTTGCAGTTCTGGTTGCTACAGTTCAGTTTTTCTTTGAACCTTACTGTTAATGTTGCCGCTCACCAATTGCGGTGCGGAGGTATTCTTTCTGGACTGCATCACAATGCTGCTGTGCAACAGAAACACTTCATAGGTTTCTACTCGATTCCCAGCTCTGTCTATCTACCTCAATGCAGATCAATCTGAAACTGATAACGTCCTTCCTCTCAAAATGTGACAAAATATCTGTTAGGGAAGGTCAAAGTATTATGGATAAACTCCTTAATATGTTTTTAATGGACGACTGGTGAAAATGTGAGGAACTTTCCCATCTGTTCAATTACGTCTTCTCACGGTTTTCAGAGAGTGGATTAAAGTGACTGACTGCTTCAAAACTCAACTTTTAAACTACTAGGAACGATTCCATTGTTTGCGTCTTGACATTCTATATGAGCCCCATAACTAGCTAAGTTTATCAACATAAAATAGGCGTATATTTTGATTTCCTTCGATTTCTTCAATCATCTCACCATCAGACACATAATTATGAATGATCTTAAGTGAAACAACCTACAAAATTTGCGGTAAGACGAAATTTTCTTTCCTGTGAAATGGGACGAGAACCAAAACAGTAAACTCACGGCACCAGTTGCTTCCATCACTTCGACGGTTGTGACGGTGCTCCCGAACAGACAGTACCTGGGCATTTTAACGCCAACGACACCTGCAACTGTAGGCCCTGTGTGCATACCTGTAGAGAAGGAAGTATGGCAAATATGGAATACATGGGTTAGATCGATTCTTGCGTTCGTTCACGTATTTATTCTTTGATTCCAGAGCTCACTGAAAGTTCTTTAAGTCAAAGTGTGCAGTTCCCATAGGTTTTTTGGCCTACCTGTAGCACTTGTGGTAATCCTCCTGAGGCTTCTCTTGACCCTTACATGCTCAGTCACATAAATGTGTTTTACTCGATGTATTTCCAACACATCCAAATGTTATCAGAGAGTCTTCATTGTTCTCTAAAGAAGTGTAGGATTTATGTGGTTTGCCAATTCACGCTTGTAGCACTTGTAAACTGCTCATTTCCATGCTCAGTATCATCTTCTTTTTTCCCATCATTATCAGTCACATCGCTGTACAAAAGTTTGTTTTACTGAA